TTTATATTATGATGCTAGCACTCCTAAACTGACTTTATTGAAATTATTTTTAAGATTTTTAAAGAATCTCTACATATTCAAAAAGATTAGAGAGAAACTAAATAATGTAGGAGCAATATCAGATTGGGACCTATTCAAAATAAGGATACAATTTATTATATAGACATTTAGACCTCCTCCAGTCTCAGAAAAAAGAATAAAAAAACTAAACAAATAAATTAATAAGCTAGACTTTAAAATTACTAAAAACTCTAACTTTATAGATTTGAAAATAATTGGCATACAATTAAAATCAGATTTGCACAAGCTCACAAATTTGGTAAATAAATAACAATTAAAATCAAAGATTAAATGGTTGGAAAAAGATGAGAAATCCACTTGTTATTTTTTTAACAGATATAAACAAAAACAGATATACTCAGCTACTTCAAGAATAAAAGACCCATCTTTATCAATAACAAAAAATCCACTAAATGTTTAAATTACATAAGAGATCAGTTTGAATTGCTCTATAAAGCAGAGTCAATTAATTTAGATAAGGCAAAGAATATTACTAACAAGCTTCTAGTGATTTTGTAGAACCTAAATCAAATGTTGATAAAAGAAATTAATATTGAGGAAATTACAAGTATAATTAACAGTTTATCAGAAAACAAGGCTCCTGGTAGTGATAGTCTGATGCATGAATTTTACAAAATATATATAACTGAAGTTTTACTAATATTGAAAAACATCTTTAATGATATTTTAAATAATAATAAAATCTCAGATTCATGACATAGAAGTATAATCATATTAATACTTAAGAAAACAAAGGTCCTAGAGAATTTAAAAAATTGGAGGCCAATCTCACTGATAAATACAGATGCAAAGATATTCTTAAAAGTGATGGCTGATAGACTAAATAACATATATAACAATATTATAGAAAATCATCAACAAGTCTTTGTTAAGGGTAGGTCTATAATTGATCTAGTCTTGAATATAATTAGTATAATGTAAAATCAGAGAGAATAAAAAAACTCAGCCTGGTTAGTATTTTTGGACCAAAAGAAAGCATTTGATAGATTGAGTCATGATTATTTGTTTATAGTATTGAGGAAAATAAACTTTAATTCAAAGTTCATCATTTTAATTAAGAATCTTTTTTTATTACAAATTGTTAGTATTATGGATATCAGACTATTATCAATCTCATTTAAATTAGAAAAAGAATTAAGACAGAAAAATTCTATTTTACCTTTCCTTTATATAATCAGCTTTGAACCATTTTTAAGAAAGCTTTTTTTTTTTTGTTAAAGGCTATACTTGTGGCGATACTTTATTGACTTTATATTAGGTTAGCTATTACAACTATTTTTATAGAGATGAGAGTATAGCTAGTCATATGTGCAACTTTTGGTTGCCTTTTTAAGCAATCCACCCTAAGGTTTTATACTAGATGCTATATCTATAACCTACTAGGAGATTATTTATTTAAACTCTCTGATCATCCACTCTGTTATATTGGAATCCCCATATATACCTAACTGGTATACTGTTTGAGCAATATAGTATCTACTTTTGTTGTACTGATTTTCAGATTGTTACACATTTCAGAGTACATCACCAGCCAGTAAGGTACAGAGAGCCCTCCATTGTTAACTATCTACTCATTTTTAGAACACTAACACAGGCTACCATTACAGAGTTTACTCAGACCCTAATACTGACTTTATAACATATTCCTAATACTTATAATATATTTCTGCTATAAACCCAGACTCTCAATCCAGATAGCCCAAAAGGACTATGATCTGCCTTGGTATATTAAGACTGGCCTAATATTCTTTTTTCTTTGATCTGAAATCTGGTAACCTGGTTGGTGATACCCCTCACTTAAGGTTCTTGTTTATCCAAATCCTTTATATTGGTATCCATTTCTAGATCTAGCCTTTACAGTAGTACTGTCAAAGATCTGTATTACCTCTCTGCTTGAAATTTCTAAGTGGGCTCCAGCTTTTTAGTTCTATAGATTTACATAGCCTAAGAACTTATTTTAGGTTTGCACTGCCCAGTACCAGTTTGCATTTCTTTGTATAACAAATTACACAAATGCCCCAGACCTGACAGTTATGCTAGTGCAACTATAGTTACAAGTATCCTATCCCAACTAATTAACAGAATGCTGTTGTTGTAATACTGTCTAAATAATTTATATAGGTGATTATCCAAATTTCACTATTAGTGAGTTTTGAACTCACAACCTATCACTTGGGAGTGTAACAACTTATTCACTTTACTAAGTCACCACACCTTATATTTGAGAAAGCTAAAATGCAACTTACTAAATATATCTAATAACAATCTTAGTTTCAAAATTGTTGGTTATGCAGATAATTTGACAGTTAGAGTTGGATCACAAGAGAACTGAAGAGTTCTTATAAATTGGTTAACTAGATACTAAGCTGCAACTTGTGCTGTAATAAATAAAAAAAATCAAAGTTTGTTCTTTTGAACAATAAAGCCACTAAAACAGAGTTGTCTGTAAATAAAAGCTTTGCTAAAATAGAAAAGAATAATAGAATTAGAATCTTAGGTTTTGAGGTTAGCAAAAAAAAGTTAACTTAAGCAAAACTATGAGAAAAAGTAATTACAAAAATTAAAAACTTAATAAACTCTATGGAGAAGAGAAATCTAACTTTCAGGAGTCAGATTATGTTAACTAAATCATTGCTATTCTCTAAAGTATGGTTTGCTGCTTATATACTTTTACTTAATAGAAAATAGCTTAAAGGTATCAATAAACTAATGATTAAATGGATCAAAAATAAGTTCAAGCTCCTTCCTAGATATTCTATTTACCAACAATTATGAAATAAATAGATTGGATGTACCAGTTCTTTCAGACATGCTGGATGCAAGACTTTATACTATATGGATCAATTTGCTGACAAGTCAGAATTTTTAGACAAAATGTAAAAGAGAGAGAATTAGTACAGTAATGTACAATAAAAGGAGAAAAACAATTACTAAAATACTATCTACCTCTATAATTAAATTAAAAAGATGACCTGATGAATGAAAACCATATTTAATAGCTTGGAAAAGATTAAAAGATATAATTCTAGTTGATAAAGAAGTCTGACCATAGAATCTTGATTCGATAAAGGTTATAGATAAGAAAAGTAATAAGTTAACAGTAACAAAAACTACAGAATTCTTAAGAAGAATATCTATATTGAATACTATATCTCTGAAAATTTTTTTCAATAACAATAACAAGAAAGAAAACTGATCATGAATGTTTATAAAATGGGTTCTGAATAAGAAAAAAATATTATTTGAAGACTGCTGCATAATGCCCTTCTATTAGGACCAAGACTTATCTATATAGACTCTAAAATATCACAATATTGCCTGTGATGCCCAAGTGAGATTTAGAATTTGGAATACTTTGCAATTGATTGTCAAATAAGTAAAAAGTTATGGAAGTTGACATACTGCATACTCAAAACTAAGCACAATATATCACCTCCAACCTCATTAGAGAAAGTAATTACTGCCTCCAATGTTAAAGGATTACAACCACACTCTGTGCTAATATGGCTGCACATTAATGTAGTTTATGAAATTTGGTGTTGGTTTACAAACTGGAAATGGGGTAACAATTCACTGCCAGAACCTGCATTACTGTTTATATGGAAGGATAGTTTAATTAGAGAAGGGCGGGTTGCACTGGCGAGTAAATTGCTGAAGAATAAGAAAAAAACTTTATTAAAAAGTATATGTAATATAAATAATTAATTTCATGTAAATGTGTCAGCACTGTTTGTATAGCTTTATAACAATAAATCGCATCACATGACGTCCTTAAGTAATTGCTACTTTGGGGTTTTAAAAAAAAAAATAAATAAAATAAAATAAAATAAAATAAATTATTTATATTATATTAATCCCATCATATTTTAGTTGACAAATTTCATAATTGATTTGTTAAGTATCCGGGTATTTTACATTCACAAGTGCAATTAATCCGTCCTTAGTATCTGGGACACTTTATATTCTGGGACTTCGAAAATCATGAGAAGTATTATAAAAGGGGACTTTTAGTCTACGCTGTACGGTGATTTGCGATTAAACATAAGTGTGAAAAGCAGAGAATCAAACATTCAATAGCAGTAAGTAGGTTAGTAAAGTGATAAATGGTTTAATTCTTAAGTGTACATTTAAAAAATACATACCTTTGAAGTATTGAACTTAGAATAGCTAAAATGAGTGAATACAGTTAGACAAAATTTATTATTTTCTAGATAAAATCTGTAGAATATTCTAACAGTATATAGATTAGATTAAAATTTAATTACGGTTAAATATTTATTGCAATGAGCCTCTAATTATGCAATCTCTCTAAATGCACTCTTAAATCCTAGCTCAAATATATACTTTATCTTCATAAGCACTTTTTATTATTCCCCAAGCGTCTCTTATAAAAGTTAAGTCTTTATAAAAGTTACTTAGAGAGTTTTAACTGTAGTATAATCCTAATTAATTTAAGAAATATTATAATTTATCCAATAGGATTAAGACTGAGGCTCTTTTGTTTTGAAACAACATTTGTATAAGTTACTAAACATCGTATTTAACTTCTTAAAAATGTATGAAATTATGCAGACGTCTCAGTACTAACCACTTTGCTTCCATACGATACAGTATAACGATACGGTCAGAACAGAGAACAAAAATGGGTAAAATCAAGAACAATTTAATAAATGTATGACGAGGTTAAAAGCCGAGATAATAATAGAGAAATTAACATTATTTAATAATCTAGAAAGGATAATTATCTGATCACAAACATCTGATTTGCATTTTTTTTTAGATACTATGCCGTAATTAATTCTACCACGTGGTAAAATGCCGTAATGCCGTAATTCAGTAATTCTACCAACAACTATACACATGTATAGATAAATATATATTTACATAATATCTAAATTCTCCCATATTCCCAACCAATTTTAATCAATTATTACTTCACCGCCAGCCCAGCTAATAAAAAATAATGATCCCAAAATATAATATAAAGAACATATAATCCAAATAATACCCCAATTATTGTTAGTAACTTCTAAAATCCAACCTGTTAATGCTACACCAAAAAAAGCTGGAACCATTCCACAAGTATTTCCTAAGGCATAAATTAAACCAGCATATTTTGGCGCGATATCCATCTACAATTGACAAGAGCTTAGTTTTATATTTAATTAATTAATGAATAAATAAACAATTAAGTAATTAATTAATTACCTGAGATACATTTACACTTGAGATTTGGATTGAATATAATGCAAATCCTATCGTTATTATCAATAATCCTTCAAGTGAAGTTTTTGCAAAGTATGTTACCTGTAAATTATATATTAATCAACGAAAAAAATAAATATCATTGCCAATTTCACTATCGTCCGTAACAATAAATCAATTCAACTCTTACAAGTAAAAGAGATGTTGATATTCCAAAAGTTCCGATAATATTAGCAGACCTTCGTACAGTTAAAACACGAATGTTTAATTGATGAATTGCATAATCACAGATATAACCGACTATAGATCCAATCACAATGTACGAAAAGTAAGGTAAAGCTAAAAAAAATTTTTTGAAATTTATAGAATTTTATAAATATAAAATAAATATAGAATAAATATAAAATAAATATAGAATAGTGTTGATATTATGCATTAAAATTTCTTACTAGTGTAATATCCAATGAGATTAATGTCTACGTGAAGATATTCATAATAAAATATTGGTAGCCAATTAAGTAGAATAAAATAGCCCCAAGAATTAAAAAATTGACTGATCATAATTGCCCACACTTCACGACAAGAAAATATTAATTTCCAAGGAATTTTCTGTATATAACGTGGCTTTGATGATATTTTATTTTTTGGCAATAATACATCATTTTCGTCTTCAGGAACGCTATTATCATCAGAAGTCGCAATATTTTCACTGGATCCTGATTGAAAATGACTAAAATTTTCTTCAGAATAAACTGTTAATTTATTTTCCAAAATCCAGTCTAATTCTTCTTTACTAATTCCTGAATAATCTCTAGGATCACTTTTCCCATAAAAATACCAAAAAATTGTCCAAATGAAACTAATAATTCCAAA